AGATGTCTTTGTGTCGAAGTAACTGAAAAATATGAAAGAGATTTTCCTGGCCTGACTTTTTATATCAAATAAATTATTCTGCAGTAGATCAAAAATGAAAGAAAACCATGAATCAACATATGAACATTACTTGATGCTGCTGAAGTGAAACAGAGCAATGTTAAAGAGGTTTTATTAGAGACACAGCTAAGCGTTTTGCAATTTGGCATACTTTTAAAAAGTTTAAATTTTTTCGGTATTGAACAGCTTTCTTGTCGGAGGCGAAACAGCGAGCGACAACGCTGTACACAATTGTGTTGGCAGCAAAACAGCAAAAGAAAGAGGGAATTAATGACGATGTTTATCAAACATGAAGCGTAGTTTTGATCCTCTTTTGCTGCTGGTTCAGTGAATTTTTCAATCATCACTGATTTACACCTGTTTTCTTTTCAGCGTACAGTGTGTGTGTGTGTGTGTGTGTGTGTATTGTTAAAAATTTATAGCCATAGCTGTGGAAAAGAGGTATGAATGACAAAGGAGTTTTTTTTGTCCTCATCACATCTATTGTCTTTTGTCCAGGTGTCTTTGTTCAACTATGTGTTCCTTGCATCCTGGGCGTTTGCACTGCCGTACAGCCAGTACCGGCCCCTTGCCTCTAGTGTTTGCACTGTCTGGACGTGTGTCGTCATCGTATGTAAAATGTTGTACCAGCTGGACTTAATAGATCCCAGCAAGTACTCCAAGGACTGCATTTTGGTAAATATTAATGCTTCTCAACCAAAGTTGTATAGAATACATGCTGTTCTTTAGCATTGTCCCTATTATCCTTAATTAAAGCCAGATTTTTTGTAGATTCTCTTGATTTTGATTGATGTGCGCCTGCTTTATGTCATGATTTTTATTGGCGTTTGGCATAAAAACTCTGGAATAAAATGTTTGCATTCCAAAAGAGACAAAAAGCCTCACTGCTAGTTTCCAAGATTTGAATTAAAATTCTATGGTTCTTTGAAGCTCCATATTTTTTATTCTTGGATTCTTCTAGTAAAGCTTTGGATGATTTACAGATCAACTAAGCCTTGTTTATCGTATACTCACCTTAGTTGAGCTACTCAGCTACTCACGTCATCCATTCCAGGAGATCTGAAACAACAAGTTGTTTTAGATCCTCTGCCTTTGAGCTAGGTGTCTTCCCATTGTCTGACCCTTATAAAAAGAAAGTTTAAATTACAGGTTGGTGGGACTTTTATGCTTACAACCAAAGCAATGTGTCTGAAATGACCAAAATAGGCTATATCTGCTCTCTCTGACATCATTCAGAGCCAAGGGTAGAAAAAATCTTTCTTAAAATTTGTGTTTAGAGCAGCCTGAATTTTTGGCTCATAGCGACTTACTCTTACGGAACTCGATATTTGAAACGTTGACCATGTTTGATGAAAACATAATTCCTACTTTAGGCCTAGCTTTTAATTCTACTAGACTTAGTCCATATCTGGAAAACTGACCCATTGTGTTTTTGTCCACAGTTATGCAGAAACTCAACAGGTAAGAATTCAGTGTTACCAGATTCTTTGTTGTATAAAGGAAGAGTGGATCCAGCCAACTGGGTGGGCCTCAGGAAGAATGACGACCTGCTGGGCTACCTGAGGGTAAGGTCGAAATGAACCACAGTTCTTTTATCGTTGTTATACACTGCCTATTGGACTCTTTATTCTTTATTCTTTATAGAGCAATTATGAATTTAGAACTTCCGTGTTTACAGGAAAATTGTAATGCGTTTTTTAAAAATTATTATTAACTTTTATGTCAGCAGTAATCTCTATTTCATGTTTAATTCAGTCAAATATGAGATGTTTAACACATCACCCACCTAGTGCTATTTGGCTGTTTAAAGTCAGTATTTAATTTGAAATAATATCAAAATTCCACAAAATGCAGTCAACTGAAAAAAGAACACATAAATATTCCACTGCAATACATTCCTAAGAAAACAGTCTGTGTTGATGGTGTTTAATTTTTTTTCTTTACTTTCCTGTGTCACCTGCCGAGTGTCACTCTGTTTTACCCACACCTCCAAATCTCTGTACAGGGAAGGAGGTGTTTTATTCAGTGAGATGAACACAAGACTTTTGGATTTTTAAAATAAACAAAATGTATAAAAAATGTATTTTAAAAAAGCTAATATTGAGTGATAACAGTTCATAGCAAAGGCTTTCAACTACAGGCTGTCACAGACAGCAGGCCTGGTGCTTAACTGTAATTCAACTGGTTGTAGCGCTCACCTTTGTACGGAAGTCTTATGTAGATGATGAGTTATATGTTTGACAGTTAGGAGGAATATTTGTAAGATTCTTTTGTGAGTATCTTTCCCCATCCCCTGGACCTTTTAGGGGAACTTAATACTTGTGAGATCTCAGACTCTGAATACTTAGCATTTCTATTTTATTTAGTTAGCAGTGGTTTTCATATTGAAACATCTCATTATGTGATTGTTGGCATAATGAAAAGCCAGACTGGGATTCAGATCATCCCTCCGTGTGGTTTCATCTCCACTGTCTAAGAGCAAAAGTGAATTTCCTATTAGATTTTCTTTGTAACTTAGATTGTTTCAATGTGCAGTACTGAAATCAGTCACTAGGGATACAGCAATAAAGAAGGACACATACACACACACCAGCAAATCACATCTTGATTGCAGTCTTGTAAGTCGGGTTTGTGTTTTTGTTTTCTTCACACTTTTAGTAGTTTAATGTAATTCCCTTGACCTTGTGAAAATATGAAGTGCCAATCAAAGCCAATAACTGGAACTATTCTGCATTTTTTGTCCTTTAAATGAGTAAAACCAGCAATGTTAATGTTGGTCTCTGGATACTCCCCAACCCATCGTAATCCTCAGCCCATTTAATCACATTTAAATATTTTTTTAAAACTATATTATAAAAACACAGTTTATAAAAACTAAGCATTTTGGGGAATTTTCTCTTCCGACCATCTGAGCAGAACAACTTCTGGATGCTGGCTCTGTTAGCATTGGAGGTAACCATCTACCGCCATCAGAAATACTTCAGACTGAGGAACAAATTGTCACCTCCTGCTGCCAGGATTATCTTTCATGACATCACACGACAGCACCTGGACATCAACATTGTCTGCTTCATCAAATACTTCATCAACTATTTCTTCTACAAGTTTGGACTTGAGGTAGGTGGCATAATGAAGTAGAAATAGTCAAATTGGGGCGATCGTGGCTCAAGAGTTGGCAGTTCGTCTTGTAATCGGAAGGTTGCCGGTTCGAGCCCCAGCTTGGACAGTCTCGGTCGTTGTGTCCTTGGGCAAGACACTTCACCCACCGCCTACTGGGGCCAATGGTGCGATATAGCAGCCTCACTTCTGTCAGTCTGCCCCAGGGCAGCTGTGGCTACAACTGTAGCTTGCCTCCACCAGTGTGTGAGAGTGAATGAATAATGGAATTGTACTGTGCTTCGAGGTTCTCAAAAAGCGCTATATAAATGCAATCCATTATTATTAAAATGTGTACTGTGCTTCATGTACACTCTTCTTGTGTTTCCCTTAGACTTGCCTGCTGTTGGTCGTCACCGTCATAGGGCAGCGTATGGACTTCTACGCCATGCTTCATGCTTTTGCCTTAATAGCGGTGCTGTACAGGCGTAGAAGGAAAGCCATTGCTGAGATTTGGCCCAAGTACTGCTGCTTTCTGGCATGCATCCTTACTGTTCAGTACTTCGTCTGCATCGGGATCCCACCTGCAGCCTGTAAAGGTTTGTGTAATCAAATGTGCCAGATTGCACTCACAATAACCAGACACTTGGTGAGTCAAAAGCTGATTAATTTCCTCGTAGAAGCCATTCTTAACAATGTGTCTGGTCCAGATAACTGACTGATTCTCCAAGATGCTTATCTATCTCATCACCATATCACCATGGTGAAGTAGGTGAGCAAAATGTTTCAGGCACCAGGAAGACAGGAAATTTTTACTGTGCAGATTTGTCTTTGCTTGTGTTCAGGAGTTAAAGTGGAATTTGTGAAGTAGTGAAGTGTGGGGAAGAGAATCACTTAGAAATTTGAAGTAGATTTGTTTTCTTTGCATACAGGCTGTGATCAGATAACATTTTCTGCTGCTGCTCTGAGAATTACTGCTGTTTGTGGATTTAGGAATCCAACTGAACTCAACAAGAATAAACAAACTTTACATGAGCTATAAAGCTTAAAAACTGTATAAAGATCGTATAAAGTTTATACGCTGATGAGTGAATCTAATCAGGAGCATCAGCTTATTTTAAATTGATACACTAAACCTAATGTAACCTAGCACTGACGATGAGCACCACAGTTTAATGCAGTTACCCTGCATTAAACTGTAAAAAATATCTATTATTTTCATGCAAACCGTAAAACAAAACCATAGCGAGTTGGGATATTTTTATTTTATTACTGAGTAAGTCTCTCCATCCCATCAGCTGGAAGCAATGCCAGGCTGCAGCACAAAAATAAATAAATAAATAAACAAACTCACTCTGCAGAATAACACGTTACCATCGGATTTAATTACTCATTAAATGAAGGGTATGTAATGGTTTAAATAATGTAAGTTAAAAGTCAGTTCATTATTGTTTCAGAGATAAATTAAGGCTGTTTTTCATGTAATTACAAAAATTGTCAACACGTAAAAGGTGTTCTCTCTTTATGTTTATGATGCACTTTAATCCGTTAGCATGTCATGGCTCCATTCTTTTACGGTTCTTCAAAGCGAAGCGTGATATTTTTATGATGTTCTTACATATGTCTGATGATAATGTTTTCTTTTCAGGTTATCCCTGGACAGAAAATGACAATGTGGTCAAGTGGCTCTATATTCCAGCTTTCCGCAGCAGTCCCGATCCTTTGTTCCTCGCCTGTGAGTTTTGTAGTTAAAGTGAAAATTTGTTTGAAGAATAAATGAAAATCCTTCATTAGAAGTTAGAAACATGCATGTAAATCTTCATGCGATTAATCATATTAGTGGATTATTCTTACTAATATATAAGTATATCAGAAGCCTTTTGTTATTACAATAGTTCGTAGTTTAAACTCCAACATGACATAATTTTGTGTTAAAATTATAATGTATAAAGTAACTAGTAAATAAAGCACTCAAACACATCTAGTGGTGCAAACAAACTTTCGACTTCGACCGACTGTCTGCAGTCTCTAAATAACTAAGCTAACTTTTAAAATTTGAGACTTGAATACAGTAAAGCAAATGTACCGTCACAGGCAAAATGAAATAATTGTTTTATCTTATGAAGATTTAACACTGATTCCACAAATAGAAACACTTTCATCTCCTCTTCTCTTTTAGATGACTTCATGTTGCTCCTCTGCGCCTCCCTCCAGAGGCAGGTCTTTGACGATGAGAACAAGGCAGCTGTCCGCCTCATGGCCGGTGACAATGTAGAGATCTGCAGAGACCTGGATGCAGCTTCCTTCAGCGTCCACAACCCTGTGCCCGACTTTATCCACTGCAGGTACCACAGATAACACTCCAAATTAGATATACTTTCATTTTGCTTTTAGTAAGAATTGCTGGAAGTAGTACTTACTGAAAGTAGTATGCCTTAAAATGTTCTGTACATGTAGCTGAGGCAGAGAATTGTGGCCAGAAAACATGCTGTATTGTATACTACAAAATGCAGCTAAGTGCTGGTGCAACTCTTAGAATTGTTTTGATACATTTATTTCAACATACTGTGTATTAGGACATTTTTTTGCCATGTCAGTTAGTGTGGCAGCACTGGTGTTGGATCCTTGATTCAAAGCTTTGTTCACTACAGTGGTTGGCCTTGTGGCCTTGCATATTTCTATTAGTCCTACATGGATAAAGTGTATTGGTGTATGTACCTTTTTAAATGATTTCCAGTTTCTGAAATATATTTTACATTAGATTCTCTTTTCATCATTTTGTGGCTATTGCGTGGCTCAGCCACCATTAAGACAGAGGTCAACATGCTGAAATGGAAAGGAAGTGAAGTAGCCAGTCTAATTGATGCTTAATGATGTTGGGTGCCTATCTATGATGTCGGATACAAAACTGAAATGTGCTCCACACAAGTGGAGCTGTTAAAAGCTAAGTATATGTATTTGAAGCTTTTTGAAAGTATTTTACAGTCAAAAATTGGTTTTAGAAATTTATAACAGGCTTCAACATTAAAGAAAAACCCATTTGGTTATTTTAGTATCCATAATTTATTTCTACTCGGGACCTTCTGTCTTTGTCCCTTATTTCCTTTCTGTCTCCCTGTTGTCTCTATCTTTATAAAGCTTAATATATCTCTCTCAGCAAAACATTAAACTCAAATTGCTTGTAGTGAATAGTCCAGCACAACACATGTGTACTTGCAGTTATGTATGTACATGTGTGTGATTGACGGATTAATTGTAATTATTTCTTTAATGCATTTTCAGTG